CCTTGGGGGCCGGGTCTCCCCGACTCACCGTCCCTCCTCCGCCACCTCCTCCTCCTCCGCGGGCGGGGTCTGCTCTGAGCCTGCGCGGCCGCGGCCTCCGACTCAGCCTCCGGGGGCGGGGCCAACGCGCTCGCGGCCACGCCCCCGATTTGTTTTCTTACGAACTCGCCACATTGTAGCGGTGCGGCCTTGCCCAGCGAGCGACCCTGCGTCGCCCCGCCCACGGAGTCGGCACCAGCCAATGCATGCGCGTCGCTGAGGAGGTTTCGCTCCCCGGCGTGGGCGGTACCGCTCCCGATTGGACAGAACGCGCGCCCTGTGGACCGCCCGCGACGGCGGGGTTTTCGGTTTTCAAACCCGTCCGGTGGGCGGGAAAGACGGAGGGTTTAACTGACCCGCGGGAGAAAGGTCAGGCAACAGGGTAGCGCGGGCTAGTGCGGACTTCGGGGCCTCCTGGGGGAAGGGAGGCAGGGCTGGGGCCTCCCAGTCTGGGGATCTGTTATTTATTCATCCTGGGAGCATTTATTAGCCCTTAGGATGTGCTGAGCGCGTTTTGTCATTCAGTCCCCCCTTGTGCCCGGGAAGCGCCGGGGACGCGCAGGAGCGCTTATCCAGATGACGAGATCAGTTAGATGGCGTTAGGCGCCACGGAAATAGGGAAGTTGGGTGCATGAGAAAGGGATGGCGCTCCGGCTGTGGCTCTGAGGAAAGTTGAACGTGGAGCCGCCACGTGGACGCGGGATGTCGCAGTGGGGGCCGGCACAGCAGATGGTACCGGGCTTCGTGCAAATCCTCATGGAGCACCGCCGGGGGGCGCCCCGCTGCGGATCCAGGTGTGGGGAGTAAAATCCTAAACCTTTGACAAATGATAAAGGCTACGGGGCTGACAGGACAGGTGACAGCCCCTCGGGAAAGCAAGGCCGTTTACACAGGAGGTTACAGGGAAGGCTTCCCAGAAGAGGTGGTGCCTGAGATTTGAAGGGGAGGGAGGGAGCCAGTGCATATCTGGGAAGAAAAGCACAGGCTGCGGCACATGCAAAGGTCCTGTGGTAGTAGCAAGCCTGGGACAATTGCTGGAGGGAGCGTGAAAGGAGGGAGGAAAGGCTTGGGGGTTCGATGCGGTTGTGAAGATCCTGCGCCAGTCAGCTGCGGGGACTCCACCGGATGGGCACCGCGGGAGAGAGGACGTTGAGCAGAGGAGCTTGGACTACTGTATGGTATTACTAGTTACGGCGCCCCCTGGTGGCCATGGGGGAACACACCGTGGTGGGGGAGGCAGGCAGGAGAGGGGCCCAGAAGAGGGCAGAGGAGCCGAGGAAGGGGCGGGGGTGAGCAGACGCTCGCATCAGGGACATCGCATCAGGGACATCGCCGGCGGCCCCGGCCCCAGCCCAGAACACACTCACAGTCTCCAGACTCATCGTTTTACTGACACCAGTTTGGGGCGGGCTCGGCGGCCCTGAAGGGGGGGCCTGTCCCCCAAGGCAGTCACCACGGGAAGGCACTCGCGAGGGGCCCGAGCCCCGCTGGTATTTCTTCATATAAATGGGGTGGGGAGCCCCAAGAGCGAGGGAGCCAGGGACCTTCTGCCCAGCCCACGGGAAGAGACGGGAAGATGGGGTCAAGGCGAAAGAGGGGATCCCCAAGGGGCAGCTGCCCGAATGGCGCACGAAACACACACACACACACACACACACACACAC